ATTTATACACTCGATGATCTTTTGCATTGTAGCCGTTTTTCTTCAATAATCACACCGTGAAAGTTTAACTTCTTCAAAAAAAACTGTAACCTACTACACACCAAAGAGATGGGCAGCCTGTGAGAGCTGCATCTACATCCTCCCCTGACTAATTCAGACTCCTCACCTGACATCAGCTTTGGCTGCGACCACTCGACAACGTTGTGACTAATTAGATTCAGCTCTACTTCCCTATTATGTGTCTTGAACACCATCACTACCTCGTGAAACTCATCAGGGCGAAGAGTCTTAGGTAATTTTTAATGGCGAATAGCTACCTCTGTTGTCGCTATTTATCACAGATGGCCCAGGAAAACCTGAGAGAAGGTTCTCTCGGTCTATCCCCGGACATAAATACTTCAGTCACGTGAACCTCAGGTAACTCTTAATGGCGAAGTGCCTCTAGCCAAATCCACTGACGAGGCTGTTTTCCACAGGTGATTCAAGAAAAGTATCTAGGAGAAGGCTCTCTTGACCAATCCTCAGACACAAATACTTCCCAGTCACTTGGTAAGTTTATTCAGGTTAACACAAACACACTTACATAATTATCATACATAGCAGCATATGTGTAAAGAACCTGGGATAACCCCCCAAAAAAGTCAGAGTGACTTATTTTCATTGGGGTCCTTTTACCTTATTATTATAATATAAAAGAGATAATATCTTATTATTATACTATAAAGGAGATATACTAGGAATGAGGGAAAATTACATGTGTTTAAAAAAAGTAAAAAATCAGTCTCTTCCCTTTCTGTCGCTACATTCATTAGGCACCTTTTGGCACTCTTCTTGAACTGGTTCATGCTATGACTGGCTTTGACATGTGCAGGCAGTCTGTTCCATTCCATTATTGCTGTACAAAACATTGTTCTAACAACACTTACTACAATTAAGGACAACTTCACGTCGCCTGGGGAGGATGGGATTACTTACAACATACTCAGATTATGTCGAGTACCAGGTAATCCTTCACTTGAGCTACACAACATGAGCTATGTAACTGTGGAGCTCCCTAAATCTTGGACCAACAGTCTCATCATTCCCATTCCAAAACCCAATCAACAAAATTAATTTCGCCCAACATCTCTTACTAGCTGCTTGTGAGAAACATTTGAAAGGATGATTCTAAATCGTCTCATGCACAGAACTAAAAAAATTCTGTGCTCCCAGGTTGTATGGTTTCATGCATAGGAGTGTGTGCATCACTGCATAACCACCTTTCTCACCCTGCACACTGGCAGCTCCTTTACTACCTTCCTTGACCTTCAATCTGTTTTTGATGTAGCCAACCGACATGTAATCATTGGAGAACTTGCCAGAATGGATGTAGAAGGATGGCTTCTCTGCTGGATAAAGGCTGCCTGTCTAACAGAAAGTCTTATGTATTGTTCCAATGGCATAGAAGTGTAACTAATGATTTTGAGTTAGGAACCCCACAGAGAAGTGTGCTCAGTCCCACCTTTTTCAGTTTTCTAATTAATGATTTACTAAATGCTATGCCTAGCCAGCCCGATCATTATATGATTAGCTTTACTCATGATATGATGATTCCACCACCAGATTCTCCAACACCCAGAAGATTCTTAACCATGTACTAGCCTCATGTCAGGACCTGGGGTTGATTATCTCTACTGAGAAAACAAAAATGCTTAACAGGCGTCCTCGACAGATCTACCTGGAGTTCATTACCTTTGTAATTTGCTCAGCTATCGAAACTTTGGGGTCCAGTCCCTGGACCCATTATGCACCTCTGTAATCTTTTGACTACCGCCCACAAGATGGGTATGGGGTGCATAATAAACATATTAAACTAACTAACAGAGAAATGTAGTCCGCAGGATCCAGTTGCATGATGGATCTCGACTACAATATGTTAACAGACACAGGTATCTAGGCTTCGAGGTTCCATTACTTAACTTGTTGTAACAATACTTTGTCGCCAACACAAAGAAAGGCCGAGACACTTGAGAGTTGTGGTAGGTTTTTATCCTAGGTATGGTGCTAATGTTAAAATTGGGAAAATTATATATTTTGCTGATATTAGATCATTGGTTATGCTTCACCCCTAATTGCTCATGTCAGACTGGAGGCTGGAAAAACTGCAGAAGCAATGAAGATTATTCTAGGATGCCCTCGTACTGCCTAAATTATAAATATACGGAAAGAACTTGATATCCTAAGCATCAGCGATCCTGTAACTGAAAGCAATGTCCTCACTGGTGTCAATATACTTAGAGAAGTTCATTTAAATCTTTGCACAGAAGTCCTCCAAACTTTCCTCAGCACTGGTGGATCATAAAAGCTGGAACTGACCTCCGCATGCACCAGATATATGATCTATGTCAAGTAAGACAACAGTGGCACTTCCTCCTCTCCATGGGTTATCCCATTCCAAACCACTCTTCTTCCCTTTCTCCCCAAAAAGCTTCTTAAATCACAACAAAAGCTTCGCCTTGAAGCCAAGCAGGATGCCTTAAGCTGTATTGTAATGCTGATGTTGTCATACTCTTTGTGTTCTATTTGTTAGGAAATTATAGATCTATCTACCAACTTTTCCTGTTATTCCTTTATCATGCATTTTGTGCGCTATTATACCATGGTCACATTTGTCCGAGGCTTTTGCAAAGTTTGTGTATACTACATCTGCGTTTTGTTTATCTTCTAGAGCATCCAGGACCTTGTCATAGTGGTCCAGTAGCTGGGACAGGCAGGACCGACCTGCTCTAAACCCATGTTGCTCTGGATTGTGTAAAATATTGGGTATCTAGATGGGTGGCGATCTTGCTTCTTAAAACCCTTTCAAAGATGTTTATGATATGAGATGTTACCGCTATCGGTCTGTAGTCCTTTGCTATTGCTTTACTGGCCCCTTTGTGGGGTGGGGCTATGTCTGTTGTTTTTAGTAACTGTGGGACGACCTCTGTGTCCATGCTTACTCTCCATAGGATGTTAAAAACACATGATAGGGACTTGTTGCAGTTCTTGATGAACACGAAGTTGCATGAGTCTGGGCCTGGGGCGAGTGCATGGGCATGTCATTTATCACCTTTAAGAAGTCATTTGACGTCAGGATAATATCAGATAAGTTTAAATCTACCAAATTCTGTGCCCCTCTCAAAAAAATTCATTTAGGTCTTCGACTCTGTCTGGTTAGCGGCTCGCTAAAAACTGAGTCATATTGGTACTTGAGTAGCTCACTCATTTCGTTGCTGTCATCTGTGTAGGACCTATCTTGTTTAAGTAGGGGCCCAATACTGGATGTTGTTCTAGATTTTGATTTGGCATAAGAAAACAAATAACATTTAAAAAATAAGCACGTATTAACTCTTACTAATGTTTTATCAAGTAATTGATGCGAATATTTGGGAATTATTGTTATCGCCATAATTCTAGCAGTGATGTACACAGTGTAACTTATTGAACTGATACCAGTAATTACCCAGTACATCATTTTAACTAGTCTCATTATACCGTTTATGACATTTTATCGAGAAAACGTTTCGTCCCTGGTGGGCGAAAAGCCTACTGAGTATAATGCCATGAACCGCATAATGTATTTTATTAACAAATTTGACAGTATATAATATTGACAGTATATAATACTTAACGTAAATTTCTTTTCAACAGCTGGTCTGCTCTTATTACAGATTTTTTTTCTCTCACCCACCAGATGTACTGCTTATATTGATACGACTAGCTTATATGTCATCTTATATGATTAACTTATAGGACTACCTTATATGCTAGGATTAGTAATACATTATTATGTAAGTTTCAGAATTAGTTTGCCTGAAATGCTTTGCATATGAAGTCCCCTCAAGGAAGGTTCCTTGATGTTGGTGAGGGGCTCTTGATTTAGGGAATTGGATCTGTGCTCCAGTTCCCCGAATTAAGCCTGAATGCCTTCCACATCCCCCCCCCAGGCGCTCTATAATCCTCCGGGTTTAGCGCTTCCCCCTTGATTATAATAATAATAATGCATATTAAGTGGCTTTAACTGGAGCACACAATTGTATCAAATAATTTTTTTGTCATAATTGCATCAAACCTGTAATCAAAATGATCTCGGTCACTGTAGCTTCTGTGTATGCTTAATAATTTTTTATTGGGTTACTCCAGATTATTTTCTACGTTATGTGCTATACAAAACCATTGTAAAATTTTGAAAGTGTTTATAAAACGTTAAGTCACATTCTTTGACTATATTGCATTATCTTAGGTCAAATATACGTGGTGTACTTTTCTTATACATCCATAACAACAATAAATCCTGTAGATCATTGTAAAAATATGTAATTTTATGCAGGCCTAAACACCAGAAACCCTACATAACCAGGTGGGGAGGAGTTACATTAAGAATGTAGTACAGTTTAATTTTATATATTTATTATGCACCCCAGACTTATGGTGTGGGTGGTAGTCAAAGGATTACAGAGGTGGCAATATAAACACAAATGCAGTATAATGTGATCCTTTATTGACTACGTTTCGCCCACACAGTGGGCTTTTTCAAGTCACAAACACAAACAGTTCTGTTTGTGACTTGAAAAAGCCCACTGTGTGGGCGAAACGTAGTCAATAAAGGATCACATTATACTGCATTTGTGTTTATATTGCCATTGTGTCGGTATTTTATACCATTTATTTCCATCGGATTACAGAGGTACATAATGGGTCCAGGAACTGGACCCTAAAGTTATGATAGCTGAGCAAGTTACAAAGGTAATGAACTCCAGGTAGATCTGGTCAGAATCATGACAAGTTACAAAGGTATTTACAGATTACAGAGGTATACAATACATTTTTTTTTTGTAACCACTGTAAGCCTTTGGAAATGAAAATTTAATTTCAACTTCTATTTTAATGTATAAATGGAATGTGAGAGTACTAACATGGTCGTAGATGAAGCATCAGAGGAAAGAATGAAGAATTATAAGAGTTTGTGCTATGTGGCAGACAGCAGAGAGAACTGTTGTAGCTGCTGCTGCTGCTGACTTAGTGTTGTTGTAGCAGCTCTGCTGTCACCACCAGCTGCTCTCTCATATATATTCTTGCTGCGGGGATATGCCACAGACTACAATAAACAATATAAGCCTCAGAAAATTAAACAGTTTAGCAGTTATTTCCATGATGGTGGTGGCTACAACGGTGACTGTCGGCACACTGCTGGGTGAGTAATGTTAGTAGCTGCTGCAGGCTGGATCCTTCACCCGTCCAACACCTCGGTCGTAACTTAACACTTAAGTCCAGGACCTAGGCCGTAACCTACCGTGACTAGGTACAAGTCAAAGGTCGTAACCTGCCATGACTAGGTCCAAGACCTCAGTCGTAACTTATCAAGATTTAGGTTCCACTCCTGGGTCTTAACCTACAAAGACTACGTCCACGACCTCGGTCGTAACTTAAGACTTAGGTCCAAGACCTACGCTGTAAGCTACCATGACAAGGTCCAAGACCTAGGTCGTAACCTACTATGACAAGGTCCAAGACCTTAGCCGTAACCTACTATGACAAGGTCCAAGACCTAAGCCGTAACCTACCATGACAAGGTCCAAGATCTAGGTCATAACCTGCCATGACTAGGTCCAAGACCTAGGTCATAACGTACCAAGAACAGGTCCAAGACCTGTTTATGGTTCTTGGACCTACTCATGGCAGGTCATAACCTGCCATGACTAGGTCCAAGACCTACCAAGACTAGGTCCAAGACCTGGTCCAAGTCTAGGTCCAAGACCTGGTCCAAGGCTAGGTCCAAGACTAGGTCCAAGGCCTGGTCCAAGACTAGGTCCAAGGCCTGGTCCAAGACTAGGTCCAAGGCCTGGTCCAAGACTAGGTCCAAGACCTGGTCCAAGACCTGGTCCAAGACTAGGTCCAAGACCTGGTCCAAGACCTGGTCCAATACTAGGTCCAAGACCTGGTCCAAGACTAGGTCCAAGACCTGGTCCAAGACTAGGTCCAAGACCTGGTCCAAGACTAGGTCCAAGACCTGGTCCAAGACTAGGTCCAAGACCTGGTCCAAGACTAGGTCCAAGACCTGGTCCAAGACTAGGTCCAAGACCTGGTCCAAGACTAGGTCCAAGACCTGGTCCAAGACTAGGTCCAAGACCTGGTCCAAGACTAGGTCCAAGACCTGGTCCAAGACTAGGTCCAAGACCTGGTCCAAGACTAGATCCAAGACCTGGTCCAAGACTAGATCCAAGACTAGGCCCAAGACCTAGTCCATGGTCTACCAAGATTAAGTGTAGGCTTGGTTCAAGAACTACCAAGACTAGATGAAGGATTGGTTCATGACCTAGTTCTAGACCTACCAAGACCTATATCCTAATAACGCAGGGCTAAGTGTAGACTTGGTCTAAGTCTGTCCAAGACCCAGACCATAACCTCAACCTCCCAATACCTGGAGTATACCTGGAGGGTGTTCCAGGGATCAACGCCCCCATGGCCTGGTCCATGACCAGGCCTCACGGTGGATCAGGGCCTGATCAACCAGGCTGCTATTGCTGGCTGCACATAAACCGACATATGAACCACAGCCTGGCTGGTCAGGTACTGACTTTAGGTGCCTGTCCTGCACCTCCTAGAAGACAGCCAAGGGTCTATTAGTAATTCCCCTTATGTTTGCTGGGAGGCAGTTGAACAGTCTTGGACCCCTCACACTTGTTGTGTTGTCTCTTGGTGTACTCGTGGCACCCTGATTTTCATTGGGGAGATGTTGCATCTCTTGCTGTCATAGGGAGTGATTTTCATGTGCAAATCTGGGACTAGTCCCTCTAGGACTTCCTAAGTGTATACAGCCTCTCCTCATTTTGCGACGTACTTGTTTACTGACCACTCGGACTTACAACCAGCTCTCCAACCAGTATGCAAACCTCAGTAATGTATATTAGAGCTGATTTCCACTATTCCATTTATTACAGTATACGGTACACTACTGTATAAATATTTAAAAATATACTAAAAATGTTATAAATGGAGCAAAGGTGACATTAAAAAAAATATCTGAAGATGATTAACGCAAACCCACTACCAGTACACTAAGTTCCTTGCTTAACGACCAATTTTTAGGAACGGATCCTCATCATTAAGTGAGGAGAGGCTGTATTGTGATGTATCTTTCTTGCCTGTGTTCCCAGGATTATAGGTCAAGGGACTTGAACTGTTCCCAAGACCCGGACCGTAACCTCAGCCTCCCCAGACCCGGGCCGTAACCTCAGGCTCCCAAGACCTGCACCGTAACCTCAGGCTCCCAAGACCCGGACTGTAACCTCAGGCTCCCAAGACCCAGACCGTAGCCTCAGGCTCCCAGACTGTAACCTCAGGCTCCCAAGACCCGGACTGTAACCTCAGGCTCCCAAGACCCGCGGAACCCGGGTAAACCCCTTCCCCGGCTCCCAAGACCCGGACGGTAATCCCCCCTCAGGCTCCCAAGGGCCCGGACCGTAACCTCAGGCTCCCAAGACCCGGACTGTAACCTCAGGCTCCCAAGACCCGGACGGTAACCTCAGGCTCCCAAGACCCGGACCGTAACCTCAGGCTCCCAAGACCCGGACCGTAACCTCAGGCTCCCAAGACCCGGACCGTAACCTCAGGCTCCCAAGACCCGGACCGTAACCTCAGGCTCCCAAGACCCGGACCGTAACCTCAGGCTCCCAAGACCCGGACCGTAACCTCAGGCTCCCAAGACCCGGACCGTAACCTCGGCCTCCCAAGACCCGGACCGTAACCTCGGCCTCCCAAGACCCGGACAGTAACCTCAACCTTCCAAGACCAGACATTAACCTCAACCTCCCAAAACCCAGTTCGTAACCTCAACCTCTTACCTTGCAAACTGAGTATCCGTGGTTCAATCCCCAGCTGGATGAAAACGTTGGGCACATTCCCCTAACACCTGCTGTCCCTGTTTACCTAGCAGTAAATAGATACCTGGGTATAGTTGACTGGTGGCGGTCGCATCAGGAGGGACAATATTCAGTTCAATTCAATTCAAGTTTATTCTCTATAAGGGTTACAATGTGGGGTTTACAGGTTTTGGGTATTGTGTGGTTTACATGTTATAAAATACTAATTACAGAGGGGGCCACTAGGACACCTAGCATGGCTAGGCATTTCGAGCAGACTTAGATTAAATCTTAACATTAAATCCTTACAGATTATGGTATTAAGGCTAAGTGACTACATCATAATTTGTGAGTTTAGCAATGTGAATGCTTTTTGAGTATCATAGGCAAACTTATGACTAGTTAGGATTTATTATTTTAAGATTAGTATTTCTGGGTTTATAGTCAGTGGGTGAGTGAGTGTAATTGTGAACCACCAGGTGGTTATCATGTAGTTAGTTGTCGGGGTGGATCAGGGAGATAAGATGTTTTCTAACTGTTGTTTTGAAAGTGATGAATGTGTCTGCAGTTCTAAAGTTTTCAGGTAGGGTGTTCCAGATTTTAGGTCCTTTGAAATACATTGAATTTTTGTAAAGATTTAGTCGAACACGGGGAATGTCATAGAGATGTTTGTGTCTGGTGTTATGCCTGTGGATCCTGTCAGAACTATCAAGAAAGCATTTTAGGTCAAGGTTAATGTTGGAATTTAAGGTCCTGTAGATATGGATTGCACAGTAGTAAGTGTGGATATTCTGAACAGGGAGTAAGTTTAGATCTATGAAGAGTGGGGGGGGGGGGTGTGGGCCAGGGATGGGATTTAGTGATTATTCTTACTGCGGCTTTTTGTTGGGTTATTATTGGCTTTAGGTGTGTTGCTGCAGTTGAACCCCAAGCACAGATAGCATAGGTGAGGTATGGATATGCATTATAAGTGAATGGTATAGTGTGAGAAGGGCAGTTTGCGGCACGTAGTATTGTATCTTGGAGAGGATCCCCACCGTTTTGGATACTTTTTTTGTTGTGTTGGATATGGGTGCTGAAATTTAGGTTGTTGTCGAGGTATAGGCCAAGGAATTTGCCCTCATTATGTCTGGCAATTATAGTGTTGTCGATCTTAATGTTAAGTTGCGCAACACCTGCTCTGCTACTAAACATAATATAGTAGGTTTTGCCAGTGTTAAGTTTTAGTTTATTGGCTGTCATCCAAGTCGATATTTTGAGCAGCTCCTCGTTAAGAATGGTGTTGAGGGTGGCAAGATTAGGGTGGGAGATAACATAAGTTGTGTCGTCAGCAAAGAGAATGGGTTTCAGGTGTTGGGATATGTTTGGAAGATCATTGATGTAAATGAGGAAGAGCAGGGGTCCAAAGACACTTCCCTATGGAACTCCAGTATCAAGTGGCCGTATTGATGAGGCTGTGTCTTTAATGGCGACATACTGATACCTATTAGAAAGGTAGGATTTAAAATATGCAAGCGCATGGTCTCTTATACCATAGTGGTCAAGTTTGTGGAGTAGGATGCCGTGGTCTACTGTGTCAAACGCTTTTCTTAGGTCAATAAAAATTCCTAGCGGATATTCCTTATTTTCCAATGCTGTTTAAAGCAGGTCTAGCATTTTTATAATTGCATCATTAGTGCTTTTATTTTTCCTGAATCCAAATTGGCAGGGGTTGAGTATGTTTTGTGACATTATAAATGAATATAGTTTCCTCTGCACGAGTTTCTCGAAGATTTTGGATAGCAATGGTAAGTTTGATATTGGCCTATACAGTTGTTTACGTCTGTAGGGTCACCACCCTTATGTATTGGTGTAACCCTTGCTGTCTTGAGTAGTGTCAGGAAAGTGCTAGTTTCTAGTGACTTGTTAAAAAGTTATGTAATAGCATGCGAAAGGACATGGGCCGCTCGCTTGTACAATAATGGTGGGACGTGAGACAGATTCCCCGAGTTATTTTTAAGTGACTTGATGATCACGGTGACTTCCATGGGCTCAGTTGGTACAAGATTGAAGGAATTTGGGAAAGGAAGGAAGGAAGAGACAGTCCTTGATAACGCACTGACTTTCTTGGGTTATCCTGGGTGGTTAACCCTCCAATTGAAAAATCTGAACAAATCTTATTTTATCTTAACACCCTTACCCCTCTTCAGGAGAGATTCCTTGATGCCAGTGAGGGGTGTTTACTCCAGGGAACTGGACATGTCCTTGCCTTCCTTTGGTTGAACCCGACTGCCTTCCACATTTCTTGGCCCATTTATTGAGATAGAGGTTCAAAGAGGTACTTGCTTACACAGGGTTGAAGATTGAGACACTTATGCAACATAAGGGAATCTTTATTGAAGAAGCATTTTGCCACACAGTGGCTTCATCAGTCCAGTACAAACCAGAAAGGTGTAGGGAGAGGAGAAGTTTGAGGTAATCAGTCCCTCAGCCTGGAGTTGATGTGGTCAGTCCATCAATCTTGTAGAAAGTACAGCATAGGGCCATAAAAGTGGCTTATATACTGTAGTCAGGTGAGGTGAAACGGGAGGCAGCGGGGTTATAGTGGTACCATCCACTATAACCACTAGTCGAAGTAGGTCTTCGTCCTAAGGTTGGACAAGTGTTGAAGAATTCTTTGTATCAAGATCCCATGATGTTGCAGTGTCTGACAGATGTGATTTATCACATCTGTAAAACATAATTTAATGTGAATACCGTCGCTTGACTTAAGTCCACTCTGTGGTTTACCACCAGAGTGTATTATTGGAACTGTCATAATGCTGAGTGCTCATTTGCCTGGCACTTGTTTTATCCCATACTATGTTTTTTTTCTCGTACAGTTATTTAAGTGGCTAATAGCTCCCTAAATAATAGTTTGCACAAGGAAGAAATAACCAGGTTATGGATACATTGATTATATTATAAATACAGTGGGCCCCCGACTTATGATCAGCTCCCAACTCGATTAGATTTTTAGATTTTGCCACTGAAGTGGCTAGTTTATTGTGCACCCCATATCCATCCTGTGGATGGTAGCAGAAGAGCATATGGATACACACAAGGCCCAGGAACTAGGCCCCAAGGGGTTAACATGAATAGATATGGATTTATATCTACATATCTATAGTTCACTTATCTGTTACAAGCAAATTTAGGAAATTTGCTTAGTATATCTGGTATCTTATTTTCATTAATAAGATATCTTGACATGTCACATAGATTATTATACTATCTATCTCTGTATTCCTCAATAAGTGGACAATTAAGCACATAGTGTTCAAGACAGTGACCATATGCCTGATCACATAATTTACATTTAGTTTGATCATCTGTGTCTCTCCCAAACTGCCAGAAGTACTTGTAACCAAGCCTAAGCCTGGCCACTACAACATCAGTCAGTCTGTTCACATTGCATATTGCTCCATAAACATACTTATCTACGTTCATGTTATCATAGTGGGTTATAGATCTACTCAGGCTTCTAATTGCATTCCTATAACAATCATTTTCATTATTTACTTCTCTCCTAAAATTATTCCTAATGCTAGACACAGTTATACCAAAGTTATATTCTACATTCTCCTGGGTACTCTTCTTGGCTAACATATCAACTTTATCATGAAGGAGTAATCCAATGTGTGATGGGATCCATAGCAACTGTACATTAATTCCTGTCCCTGATTTTTGAGTATCTATACCTGGCTTCTCCAATGAGCATGTTATTGGTGTCATTACATGAGTCAAGAGCCTTCAATGATGGCATAGATTACATAGATTACTTGAACAATTATGTAAGTGTATTTTTGGGGGTCTGAAACGGACTAATCTGATTTACAATATTCCTTATGGGAGCAAATTCGTTCGGTAACGGCACCCGAACAGCCTTCTGGAACAAATTAATATCATAAGTCGGGGGTCCACTGTAAATGTAAAGCCCCTGAACTCATATTGATCTGATTTTTTTTATTCACCCTAAGAAAAATCTATCGTAACAATAGGAATAAAATTCACCAGTGCTCTGTATGAGCTGGTCAAATTATGATAAAAAAAAAAAAAACAGGCCAAAAATGTCAATTATCCAATGATGAGGATCTACTGAAATTTCTCGTAAATTCTGACTTGGCTGGCAGTAGTCAGTCCTCATTGCTTTTTTATTAATTTTAATTAAAATTTGCTGTTTTTTTCTATTACAAACATGCTAAAATTTAAAAATTTTTATGCTTATAATTTCTACAGTTTTATTTACAATCTTAATTATAGAAAATCTTGTTCTGTTAATGAAAATATAGTATTCTGTATTTTATATCTTTACTATATCAAAATTTCATATTAATACTTCATTTCTTTACTGTTATTTAACTTCTTAACTATACAGGCATGCCCTGCTTATACAGCAAGTAAGGTTCTGGGCTATTGGTGTAAAACTAAAATTGCTGTAAAGTGAATCATATACTTTTCTCATTTTCAAATGCATATAGAAGCCTGATAACATGCTTACACTATCACATTTTAAGTGAGCAATAAAGCTAGACCTAAATAAATACATATAGAGTTCATCCATTACTTACGTTAAAGTGTTTTCATCCTGGATCAGTGAAGAATGGGTATACAGTGGAACTCTGGATTTTGGCCGTAATCCATTCCAGAAGGTCGGCCTAAATCTGAAAAGGGTGAAAAACCGAAGTAATATTTCCTGTGAGAATTAATGTAAATACAATTACAGTGGGCCCCCGGTTATCGGCCGGTTCGGTTATTGGCCAACTCGGTTATTGGCAGGTTTTTCGGCGCCCGGTTATCGGCCGTTTTGGACGCGTCCATCCACCGGCTGGGGCAGCTTGCGCTTCAGTTAGGCTCTGTCTCTCGGTGGCTGAGGAAGCTTCTGCTCATACATCCAAACATTTCGCTTGTTTACCATTGTTTTTAGTGGTTTTTCTTGCAGTGCAACTGTCAAATAAGTAAAGATGGCTCCAAAGAAAGTTCCTAGTAGAGTTCCTGTGGTAAAGAAAGTGAGAAATGCCATGGAATTTAAGCATGAAATGATAGAAAAGTTTGAAAGTGGTATGAAGGTGGTGGAACTTGCCAGGATGTACAGCAAGAATAAGTCAACAATTACATCCATCCTGGCAAAGAAAGAACAAATCAAAGATGCTAATGTTGTAAAAGGAGTAACTTTTGTAACTAAAAGGCAACCAATAATGGAAGATATGGAAAAGTTATTATTATTATTATTGCCGGGATTGATGGGATAAAGATAGAAATGTTAAAAGCAGGTGGGGATATAGTTTTGGAGTGGTTGGTGCAATTATTTAATAAATGTATGGAAGAGGGTAAGGTACCTAGGGATTGGCAGAGAGCATGCATAGTTCCTTTGTATAAAGGCAAAGGGGATAAAAGAGAGTGCAAAAATTATAGGGGGATAAGTCTGTTGAGTATACCTGGCAAAGTGTATGGTAGAGTTATTATTGAAAGAATTAAGAGTAAGACGGAGAATAGGATAGCAGATGAACAAGGAGGCTTTAGGAAAGGTAGGGGGTGTGTGGACCAGGTGTTTACAGTGAAACATATAAGTGAACAGTATTTAGATAAGGCTAAAGAGGTCTTTGTGGCATTTATGGATTTGGAAAAGGGCGTATTGACAGGGTGGATAGGGGGGCATGTGGCAGATGTTGCAGGTGTATGGTGTAGGAGGTAGGTTACTGAAAGCAGTGAAGAGTTTTTACGAGGATAGTGAGGCTCAAGTTAGAGTATGTAGGAAAGAGGGAAATTATTTCCCAGTAAAAGTAGGCCTTAGACAAGGATGTGTGATGTCACCGTGGTTAATATATTTATAGATGGGGTTGTAAGAGAAGTAAATGCGAGGGTCTTGGCAAGAGGCGTGGAGTTAAAAGATAAAGAATCACACATAAAGTGGGAGTTGTCACAGTTGCTCTTTGCTGATAACACTGTGCTCTTGGGAGATTCTGAAGAGAAGTTGCAGAGATTGGTGGATGAATTTGGTAGGGTGTGCAAAAGAAGAAAACTGAAAGTGAATACAGGAAAGAGTAAGGTTATGAGGATAACAAAAAGATTAGGTGATGAAAGATTGGATATCAGATTGGAGGGAGAGAGTATGGAGGAGGTGAATGTATTCAGATATTTGGGAGTGGACGTGTCAGCGGATGGGTCTATGAAAGATGAGGTGAATCATAGAATTGATGAGGGGAAAAGGGTGAGTGGTGCACTTAGGAGTCTCTGGAGACAAAGAACTTTGTCCTTGGAGGCAAAGAGGGGAATGTATGAGAGTATAGTTTTACCAACGCTCTTATATGGGTGTGAAGCATGGGTGATGAATGTTGCAGCGAGGAGAAGGCTGGAGGCAGTGGAGATGTCATGTCTGAGAGCAATGTGTGGTGTGAATATAATGCAGAGAATTCGTAGTTTGGAAGTTAGGAGGAGGTGCGGGATTACCAAAACTGTTGTCCAGAAGGCTGAGGAAGGGTTGTTGAGGTGGTTCGGACATGTGGAGAGAATTAAGCGAAACAGAATAACTTCAAGAGTGTATCAGTCTGTAGTGGAAGGAAGGCGGGGTAGGGGTCGGCCTAGGAAAGGTTGGAGGGAGGGGGTAAAGGAGGTTTTGTGTGCGAGGGGCTTGGACTTCCAGCAGGCATGTGTGAGCGTGTTTGATAGGAGTGAATGGAGACAAATGGTTTTTAATACTTGACGTGCTGTTAGAGTGTGAGCAAAGTAACATTTATGAAGGGGTTCAGGGAAACCGGCAGTCCAGACTTGAGTCCTGGAGATGGGAAGTACAGTGCTTGCACTCTGAAGGAGGGGTGTTGCAGTTTAAAAACTGTAGTGTAAAGCACCCTTCTGGCAAGACAGTGATGGAGTGAATGATGGTGAAAGCTTTTCTTTTTCGGGCCACCCTGCCTTGGTGGGAATCGGCCAGTGTGATAATAATAAAAAAAAATTAAGGAAAAAGAAATGGTGGGAGACATTGTTGTGGAGTCTACTATTTGTGAGAAGGCAAAGCAGTTGCATGAGGATCTTGCAAAGAAAATGCCTGGCACAAGTGCTGTAATTTGTGAATTTAGGGCCAGCAAAGGATGGTTTGATAGATTTCAGAAGAGTAGTGGCAAACAGTGTTGTAAGGCATGGTGAGGCTGCAAGTTTTGACATGTGTGCAGCTGAAAAGTATGTTCACGAATTCCAGGACTATGTAAAGGCCGAAGGATTCGAACCCCAACAAGTGTTCAGTTGTGACGAAACAGGCCTGTTTTGTAAGAAAATGCCAAACAGGACTTACCTTACCCAGGAGGAAAAGGCACTGCCAGGACACAAGCCTATGAAAGACAGGCTTACTCTTTTGTTATGTGGTAATGCTAGTGGGGATTTAAAAGTGAAGCCTTTACTCGTGTATCACTCAGAAAATCCCGGAGTGTTCAAGAAAAACAGTGTCATGAAGAATAGATTGTGTGTGATGTGGAAAGCTAATCATAAGGCATGGGTCACAAGGCAAATTTTCAAATACAGTGGACCCCCGCATAACGATGGCATCGCATAGCGATTTTTCCGCATAACGATTACTTTTATCGCAAAATTTTTGCCGCGCATACCGATTAAAAACCCGCATACCGATTTTCGTCCGAGACGCGTCCAATGTGCCCTCAGCCAGCCTCACATGTGCCGCTCCGTCCCATTGTTTACCAGCCAGCCTCCGCGGTAACATCCAAGCATACACTCGGAATATTTCGTATTATTACAGTATTTTCGGTGCTGTTTCTGGAAAATAAGTGACCATGGGCCCCAAGAAAGCTTCTAGTGCCAACCCTGTGGTAAAAAGGGTGAGAATTAGTATGGAAATTAAGAAAGATTTTGAAGGGTTTGGGGCTAACCCTGAGAAGCCTATGCCAGTTGTGGAATCCATTGTGCCTACTTCAAAGATTAAGGAAATGTGTGCACAGTGGGTTGAACTGCAAACCTTTATAGATGAAAATCACCCTGACACAGCTGTTGCAAGCCGTGCTGTTGACTATTTCAATGACAATGTTGTGGCCCATTTTAGACAAATCGTAAAGGAACGGGAGGTACAGAGCTCTATGGACAGATTTGTTGTGCGACAGAGGTCCAGTGACTCTCAAGCTGGTCCTAGTGGCATTAAAAGAAGAAGGGAAGTAACCCCGGAAAAGGACTTGCTACCTCAAGTCGTAATGGAAGGGGATTCCCCTTCTAAACAGTAAGAAGATAATGCTCTCCCCTCCTCCCATCCCATCAATCATCACCAGATCTTCAATAAAAGTAAGTGTCATTTAATTGTGCATGCCTTTTTCAGTTTGTGTGTATTAAAATTAACATTTCATGTGGTAAAAAAAAAAATTTTTTCATACTTTTGGGCGTCTTGCACGGATTAATTTGATTTCCATTATTTCTTATGGGGAAAATTCATTCGCATAACGATTATTTCGCATAACGATGAGCCCTCTTGCACGGATTAAAATCGTTAACCGGGGGTCCACTGTAGTAGGTTAATGATGTGTTTGGCCCAAGTGTGAAAAAATACTTCTTGGAAAAGAAATTGCCATTCAAGTGCCTCCTGGTACTGGACAATGCTCCTGCACATCCTCCAGACTTGCAAGACCAAGTGTTTAGGCAATCAGTTTCAGACACCCAAAAATAATAGCAAAAAATACATTTTTAAAAATTAACTATAGTATTACATACAGAAAACAATGAGAACTAAATGAAATGACTAATGAAATGGATAAAATGAACATTTAACATCACATTTACCTTTATTGAAGATTCTTGTTGACGTATGGAAGACAGGGAGGAGAGAGGGAGAACTGATTATTGTTTGGAAGAGGAATCCCCCTCCATAAGGACTTCAGGTATCAAGTCCCTATCCTGGGTTACTTCCCTTCTTTGTCTTTTACTGGCACTAGGACCAGCTTGAGGGTCACTGCACCCCTGTCACACAAACACACTGTCCAGAGGGGTCTGTTTCTGGTGTCTAAGATTTGTCTGAAGTGGGACAAGGTTTTGTCACTGAACATGTTGCAGATATGGCTTGTTTCAGCTTGGTCAGGGTGATATTTCTCCACAAAACTTTGCACAAATGTCCTTAATCATTGAAGAAGGCACCTTCTTCCCTCTCTCTTCCTCCTCCTCTGAACCAATTTCTTCAGCTGTGGTCTGTTGCTGTTGCAAATGAAGGTCTTGCAGCCCTTCAGTGGTTAGCTCTTCCCTGTGGTCCTCCACAAACTCTTCCACATCCTCGCCACTTGCCTCCAACCCCATGGACTTCCCCAAAGACACAATAGATTCCACAACAGGCAGAGGGTTGACAGGGTCAGGGTCAGCCTCAAACCCTTCAAAATCTTGTCAAGGACACATTCTGGCCTCGATTTTCTTCAAGCAGAGTTAAAAGTCCTGAAAATCACTCCCTGCCAAGCCTTACCTATAAGGCTTATGCAATAGAGGATATTGAAGTAATTCCTCCAGAACTCTCTTACGGTCAATTCAGTGTCAGAGGTCCCCTCAAAGCACCTTTGAAACATTGCTTTTGTGTAGAGTTTTTTGAAGTTAGAAATAACCTACTGGTCCATGGGCTGGATGAGAGGAGTGGCGTTAGGAGGCAAGAACTTCTCTGTTAAAAGACTTAACTCCATAGGCAATTGGTCTGCCAAGTTAGGAGGATGAGCAGGAGCATTGTCTAATACCAGGAGGCACTTGAGTGGCAAATTATTTTCCTGGAGGTATTTTTTCACATTTGGGCCAAACACTTCATGGACCCAGTCAATGAAAATTTGCCTTGTGACCCATGCCTTATTAGCTTTCCACAACACATACAATTTACTCTTGACGACATTGTTTTTCTTGAACACTGGGATTTTAAGAGTGATACACCAGTAAAGGCTTCACTTTGAAATCCCCACTAGGGTTACCATAGAACAA